CTTCATTAATTATATGGAAAGTTTTAATTGGGCTTCTGTATTTATTATCTAATACTTTACTTATGTGCTGGCTAATGAAATAAAATAAAATATTAATAAATATAAATTCAAAAACAAGTTATTGTTCTTTAGGTTTTTATAGCATGTTAGTACGAAGTTTTTTTTTCCTTTGCACTATCAAAAATCCCCGTTTCATTTTTGTCCGATGACACTGGACAACTGACAATGACACAATAAGGTCAGGTTAAATTGCAATAAGGTAAAATTGCATTAATTAAACAACAAAAAAAATCACTCTTCGTTAAGGCTTTAAATAGCTGAATTAAAAAGAAAACCGATCTAACAAAATACGTACTTGTACATCGCGAAAAGGTGAAATAAACTACGAAACTAAATAGGATCGAATCTCACGAAAGTAGTTGTGATAGGAAATTGTGTGGCGGCTCAATGATGAAACACGTAGCGAAGTATCGACTCCCGCTCCGGTAAGCGCACGGAGCGGGGAATGAACCCGAGTAAATCCCGGCTTAGGCCGCCCGCCTCCGACCCCTACGGGGAGACAGACAGCTCACCTATATCTCTCGACAATCGCTCCCATTCGGGCCTAGCGGTATACCCTTATACGTCTCCAGCGGTTTATTTACGGCGCTATTCGATTTGTTCTCCTAAGAATATAAAGATATAGATGTTTTACGCTTTTTCGTATACATGCATTTTTATCACCCAAAACTACGCTCCGAATTTATTTGATTTATGTTAAAAATATTAGTATTTTTTAAAAAAAACTATCCCAGTTTATGTTTATAATAATAATACTTTGCATCATAGCAGACGCCAATGACATATTTATTTCACGACGGTACTGTCTTCTGTTATGCTTTTTTTTTTTTTCATATTATTGATTGCTCAAACTGAAACTTTAATGTCCCCTAGTTTGGTGATTTGGATACCGACATATTTTAAATAATAAAAAAAACCAAAAAAGTCATTACATTTCCAAGACATTACCGCACTAACCAACCATGGGTGACATGTTGTTTGTAGACTATAATTATATAATAGTTAATTTTGCGAGTCCGGGTATATTTTGCATCTTTAATTCCTTTTCCGTGAAAGCCTCTTAAAATATCCACAATGACGTTTTAAGAACACCTACATTTTCCACGTTGTTTTAAATACCATAACAATATCATCATCATTCAGAAGCGTGCGCGCTATTTGACGAAAAATAGGCACCATTTTTTCTCTAATATGCAACAATAAATTTTTATTAAGGAAAATGATACTTCGTATGGAATTGTTCTCGCAATGCGCCCGTACACCGGGAAAGGCGCAAATGTAGGTGATAAATCTAAATTAAAACCATTATTTAACCCTTTCCCGTTTCACCGCACCTATTATATCGTTGAGGGTTCCGGATTGATAACTTGAATTAATACATTTTATTATGCTAATATTTCTCCGTCAACCCAATGGAAAAGTGCCTGACATAATTTCATTACAAACGTGAAGGGCTTGATTGATGTACCACTAGGATTAAGTTTAATTTTTTTTACGGAAGAATTGATGAGTGGCTGGCTCAGTAGCTCAGTTGTTAAACAATAGGCTTCGGAGACGGCAGTCGCAGGTTCGATTCCAATACGAGAGAAGTGTATGTGTGATCCACAAGTAACTGTTCCGGATCTTGGTAATCCTCCATAGGCAATCTCCTTAATATTAACTACATTTTTTACGTGATAAGGTGCCAAGCGAGCTGGTGTTTCACCTGATGTCCGGCCTACTAACAAAACCGCAGCCTATTAACATTTGCAACACCCGTAGATCGCTACCTCAGTCACCAGAGGAAACGCAGAAGTACAAACTTCCACTTCACGCGGGTCATCTGTGAGTTCGTGGTACTTAGCTGGACGGAACTGGCCATTTGTGCAACAGCGAAGACTGTTACTTTGCCCTTCCACATGGTTGAACATAATAATACCTTGTTCATATATTTTGCCGAAGGAATCTAGCCTTAATATTAAGTACACTTATAGTATACTAATATATTGAGCTGACCTCACAAAGTTGCGATAAAGGCAAGAGAAAGAGGTGGTAAGTGACTCCCGGCTAATGGACATCTGCAACCTAAGATGTATTTATGCAAATCTAAATAGATTGGTTCTTCGTAACTTGATATTTATTTCTTGTTTTTACGCGTAAATTATGGATAATTTTTAATTCATATTTTAAATTCGATCCGCTATGATTTATCTTGAATGATCGAATCATTTAGGTAGAGCAGAAGCTGTACCAATGCAGCACGCAACTGTTACTTGGTGATTTACATAAAAGAATTAGGCTTAGATTTCCTACCAGCCTTTAAGATATTTTACGAAAATTAGCAGAAACAGTCTAATTAAAATGTAAAAATATTTCTACGTCCGTATGTTCCAATAGCGTTTTGTCAATAGCGTTGTCGCGCGCCTTTTGTCTTTTTTTTTTATATATTCGTAATATGTCGAATAAACATAAATAAAACTTTTTTATAAATAAATGTATTTTTGCCAGTCAGTTAAACACAGGTTGTATGATTGTAAAGAGGTTGTATGGCCACAACAATCAGAAAACAGACTACAAAAGAGTATTTGTACCAAAATACAGAAGCAAGGGACGATTTGGTCCTTTCAATTAATGTTAAAATTAAACTTCCTTAACAACCCTCGAGCCATTGTTTCAGTTTATTAAAAAGTTCAACGTTTGAATTGTTTGCGGAAGTTTTGAAATTTTCCTGTCAGGATCCGAATGACGAGCCATTAATCATTCTGTCCGCAGAAAAACTGGGAAGTGGAAAAATAAATTATTGCTGCATCAATGTTCCAACGGAGTTCGAAAAAACTTTTGGTTTGCGCGTGTTATTTTAAAAAGGCTAATAAAACCAGATATATTTTTTTTAACTTCTAAACTTACTCCGTTCGGCGCACTGTATTACTTATTACTGTGGTAGGGCGATGCAACAATATTCGCTGTGTCATTAATTGGCAGGTCCGTCCGGGGAATCACCACGACCTCGCAGAAGACCTGCATATAGTGGAAGTGTTATACTTCCGCGTTTCGTCTGATGAGTGAGGTGAACTAAGTCCACTTTATTGAAAGGTGGCAACACATTTGTAATCCTACGGGCGTTGTGAATGTCCACGGGCGGCGGTTATCACTTAACATCACGTGAATCGCCAGCTTATTTGCCATCTTGTTACGTAAAAAAAAACTTGCCCCATCGCTTCACTTTACTCGTGCAGCCTGCTTAAAATACGTTACTGGCACCAATGAAATTGTTAATAATGCGTTTCAAGTGTAAATTTATCACGTGTTTGACGGTCAAAGAAAATTCATAAGTTTTCTGCGAAGTCATATAAAATAGGGGACTGGACAGACGTCCTGTACACGTCTTAAATCCGAAAACAACGTATAAATAAAAAACTGTTTTGTAGTGGACCTAATTGTGAATCTAAACCGTTCTCGAATCCACTGCAACACACAAAAAAGTTAATCAAAATCGGTCAAGAAAAATAAATATATTTAAAGATCTATACACGTAAAGTCGGTCAAAACACGACTCGGCGGCGCAGTACCTAAGCTGTTGTCTTTGGCACCGGAGGTCATGGGTTTGACTTTCTCACGGGACAAATATTTGTGTGATCAACAGATAATTGTTCTGGATCTGGGTGTTTGTTCCCACGGAGGCTTGAAGTCAAGCAAGCACCCGTAGTGGAAAAAACTGGCCAAAACACAAACAAGATCTTGTGCTCACCCCACATGGGTGGTATAAGGCCAGGACAAAAGAAAGAAATATTTAAAGTGCATCAGTAGTGATCATAGGCGCGTTGACCATACCGACTATGCGCTCTGCGTAAAAGGTCTTGCCCAAATATCTAACAAACGTATCCGTTAATAGATTTGTTACATATTTGACATATAAGTTTTCATCGAGATAAATTTTTAGTTATTCTAACTGATAATGTTAACATTATCTTTTAAGAAAATAAAATTTATAACTTTGGTGGCCTAATACGAAAATTCTGATAAACCTAATAATAATTTGCATTAATCGATAAGTAAGCAACAACTATTTGTTATCCATTTCACACCACAAAATTTACAAATCTAACAAACCTTGTTAACAAATGGTGGGAAATATTTAACTAATATTAATGTACAATAGGTAGATAATAATACAAATACCTATAAAAATTTGTTACTTGCTGAGCTAATTGTATCTTTAATAAAAGAGATATGGAAGGGAAGGATTTATAGAAAATTTATAATGTTACGTGAACGGATCTAATTTTCACATGCTTAAAAATATATATATTTTAATGATTACATATTTAGTACTGTTAAATAAGAGCTGCAAAGGCCTTTAGACGTTGGGATATTAAAAGAATAACTTAACCGAACTAATCGTTAAAAAAATTACTGAGGAATCCTTAATATTGAATGTTTGCTTACTGATCAATTATAGACATTATTCCTAATCAATATATTGCAAAGATATATTCCAATAGTAAAGTGGTTCTCTCCCACACGTGAAATACAACACGAGGATTAATGCTAACCGAATGCAAACTTATCATTGTCATAAATTATTCTGTTGACAATGTGTCATACTATAATAGAGTACAACAGTCAACATTGTCCATTGTTTCCAACAACAACAAGCCCGAACCAACAAAGTCATCGATTAATTAATTATCTGGCCGCCCAAACAAATCGCCGACGCCACTTGTGAATATTATCGAGTCATTAGCACGTTCGAGGTCATTTTAGCGAAACGTGCGGAGCGCGCGACGGTTCGCGAGCCGCTGTTTCCTTATAGATGTATTAGGCGACTATCGCGTGACGACTGACGAGGTTATCGCTCATTGCATTTAAATTTACGGCGTTTGGTCATTTGACTTCGGCCATTCGTCGAGCTAGCCGTCTGTAATGAATATATGTGCGTTCCTCTTTAGTGAGATGCCGCTATGCGTTCACTCTTGTTGATTCTGGCGACTGTATCGGTGTGCAGTGTGGTCGTGTGCTTCGACATGATCGTGGGTGACACCGTGCACAGGAAGATGGTGTTCCATCAGAGGGTCAAGGAGTTTCCGATACCGTTCAAGAAGCGAATAAAGTCCCTCTCCTACAGCGATCCGGAGAAACGGATTATAAAGGTAAAACTGATTAACTGTCGTTGGCCAGAGTTTTTCACTTATTTGTCTATTTTTCTATTTGACAATAACCATGGAGTTGAAGTTATAAGTGGTCTACAAATAAAAAAGGTATAATAAAGTTACTCACTAAATCTAGAGTGTGAAAATTAAACAGTAAAAGTACAGCTGTAAACAATTAAATCATGATCTCGAATTTATACGCGAAGTACGTTTAGTGTGTAGTTGGCAGTGGTGACGATTATTTCGAATATGTTAGAATCATTTCAAGTTTGATTGCCGTGAACCTTTTTCGGCGCGTTCTTAATTATTAACTATAAACCTCAAGTTAACAAAAAATCTCTCAGCATACAACTATTATTATTTCCTAGGCTCAATATTTTTTTTCAATGGTAATTGGGATGCAAATGAATTACAAGTTACATTAAATTATAATATTAAAGAAGTATTATCATATTAATATTTTAAAAAAAATTATTAATATTTAAAAATCTTATGGATGCAATACTTAAAACTCTAAAAACTAGATCCAAAGTCGAAATCCAAAATAAAAACAAAGGAGTTTTGTTTGATTTTTAATTCGAATTCACGAACCTCTTATTTTTATTAGCGAAGCCTAAGATTGCGCTAGTAATACTATGTTTGACCTTAAAAATGACCGCATACATAACTTAGTCTATAAATAAAATTGGTTTCTTGTTTCTCGCATGACTTTATTTCTTATATCGTTTAAATTATGAAATAAAAGAGATAATACTACGATGAAAACTAATCTACGTTACGAATGGTGATTAATTATGAATATTGTGATTAATTATGGTCTATTTGGTTTACTTTCACATTATACTGCACCGTAGGTCTAGTACATTAGATATGGGTTGAACATTCTAGAAAAAAAATTAAAGTATTTTATATTTTTCTAAATATCACATTTCTAAATGTTGTTGTGTACTAGTACAATATTAAATTCTTTGAAGGTCTTGACTTATTTCGAACTTTGTATCTTGTTTTTGGATAAACCGGTTTGGTTATTTGCAGATGCTTATTCCAAAGAAACAAAAATACAGCAATTTTTTATTATTCATTCCTTTAAATTCACATTTTTATGAGTTCACCACATGCAATCGTCACCCATCCATGGTAATCTACAGCACCCGTGGGGCTACAGGTACTTGCCGAGATGGCAATTATTTACAGAAACAAACCAAAAACGAAGTACCCATTGGTGCGCGACACTGGTGTTAAACCTGCGACTTCCCGCCGCTTCATTACTCTACATCGCTGATACTTGAATATTATTTACACTTGATTATTTACGCAGATTTATACTTTGACTCGCTTTCATTTCCAGGGTGTTGCTGCCATCGACAACGATTTCTCTCACGCGAGCGCCAACATCACTGAAGGAGGTGTTGGCTATTCGTTCGTGACCGTCAGAATGAAGAGTCAGAGGCATCACCCTCTGAACTTCGAGGTGGAAATATACGTCTAGTCCAACAGGTCCTATTGATGAAGCTATATATAATACCGGCAGTGTATAGAAAATAACTCGAACAGCTATCGTAAACGTATCGTACATTCTTGGGTATTTTAAGAAGCCCAATAGCATATTAAACATCGATTAGAGTAAAATTTTTGAGTGATGTCATTTACCACTACGTCAATTAACGCCCGGCTGAGTTGGCGATGATAAATAAAAAAAAAACATAACATCGTTCCAACACCAATGTTGACAAAACTGTCTGTATCAACAATAGTATCATACGAAATGTTTTATTAAATCAATAGCAATTACTAATAGGTTTTTGTATAGGAACGTCTTAAATGTTACATTAGATATCAAAATGTCGACTCGAAGGAATATTGTTATTTAAAATTTAATTTAATAAGCATACACGAGTTATTAAAAACTTCTAGAAACTTCTAAATAATACCAAATGAGACAATGCAAATGTTATACTTTCTCGAATAATTAGATAGAATTGTGTGATATTGTCTAACATGTAATATATTTAAATTGATCTGTAATGGACATATAGTGATAAATATGCTTTCTGCATAATGAGGTCAAGGAAAATTTTATTTGATCATTACAGAATATGGTCTATTATTGTGGGAATGTGATTTTTGTATCCAATACTTTTTTTTCATACTTTTTTTGGAAATTAGCGATGTGTTTATATATAGTTTTTTTATTTAAGCAAAGTATTTCAATTGTTACAAAATTATATTTCACTTCGTAACAGACCGTTCACACTATTTATGTTATAATTAAGCAAATGTAATGCTTCTAGGTAATGTCCATGTTTCAACAGCTTCCACGCATGTTTATGAATTGATAAGTGAGCAGAAGAATCCATGATAATGATTTATAAATAATTTCTGTCCGTTCGATGTAACGTTTGTGTACATCCGAAGAGTTTCGTGATATTTACGGACAATTAATGTGCGTGATTATAATTCACAACATGAAGTAATGTAAATGTGCTGTTTTGATTATTCTTAAGGAAATAGTTTTATCGGAGAAAGATCTGGCAAGAAATTAAAAAAAAAAGATTCAGTAACATTCATAATTATGTAGAATAGTAGGTAGATAGTTCAGTTGAACAACCTCTGTGGTTCAATTCAAAAGTTCAATTCTTAGTCAAGTTTCTTCACGTCCGAGTTATTTTATATATGAAAGGAAAAATAATAAAACAATATTGTATCCTATGAGTTGCTAAAGAGCTGTTAGTCAGATAAATCTTACTGAATTAAGAAAACAAGCTTTAAAGGTACATTGGACAGATTCATATTCTTGTGCTTTTAATATTTTTTGTAGGTACAGCCGAAATCTTTGAGTAAAATAATTTATTTAAATGTAAAAATTTCTTCAATTTAAAGTATGTAATGTATATATAATTAATAATCTTACAAAGAAAATATTTAAATCATTGCTTCTGTATACTTCTGTTAGATTTATTCTGAAGGTGACAATGATGAATACAACCCGCGTATCAGGGTCTAAAAACGATATGTGTTACAATGCTAATCAATGTTAAGGATATTATGTTCTACATTCAGTTTTGTTCTCAAATACATCTTTCATCTAATTTCGTAACTTATAAACTTAAACTGCACACAACAATTAATCATGATAGTCAAGTAGACGTAAAATCTTTCTTTAGTACCTGTCCATTACGTCAAATGTGGCTCATGAAAATGAAAAGTAAAATATTTTTGTATTTTCTATTTAGTTGCTTAGTTTTAAAACTGCTTACCAATACGAGTAGCTTAGAAAAACGTCGCAACGTAACTGTCCATCTATATATTAGAGATCTGATTGTATATAGGTTAGGCTAGTTTTAGCAATTCTTATAGGAAAATAAAGCTTTTGTATATTTTATTGAGTGCTTATTTTCATGGACCTTTGACAGAGGAGAAATTTTCTATTGTGAAATCAAAACGGCGATAAAACTAATAGCGAATTTTGCCTTATCGTCATTAGTAGACTAAAAAAATTTTAAATACCTCAGTTTTGCTTTACTAATATCAGGTGATTGCAATAAATAACAAGAATACGCTTATATTGGGGCATTTCACAAAATTGGATACTCAAGACTGTGAAAAATAGAATCGATAAAATCTTTAAACTTTGTTTGGGAGTTGACACAAAATAAAGGTAAAAAAGTTGGTGACTGTAAAGTTATCAAAATGTGTTAGTTTGCACACTTTTTGCATCGTTTTTTTTTTTATAAAGCTTGCCACAATGTAACTTACAAAGGCTATGTTTTTCTACTTTAACTACCCTATAACATTAAAAATAAAACCAAAACAAAATTACTTTGCCATACGATTACATTTTGTATATGGATCGTATAATAAGAAATGATATTTTAAATAAATTTATTGCGACATTTTTCAACAATTCAGTGTACAAATATTTTATCGTTAAAGAAAAACATAACTTTTACACCCTTTTAACAATCTTTCTCTTATATGGTCAACGCGGTATGACATATATCATACCATAACCAATTCTCTTTCAGTATCATTTAATTCGATTAACTAGTTTTTGATACAAAAACAAAATAAGGAAACAAAGTTGATTTTCGTGTAAAAACTCAATATTTCCACTTATTAGTAAAAACACGTTCATAATAGAATTGAAAGTTGCATTGTTTATGTATAAAAGATTCGCCTTGGTGCAATTTCACGGTCGAACACTGAAAGATGTGAAACCGCTGGATGGTGGCGCGCGATTATTTTCCCCTTATTGTTCAGCATTACAATATTGAGCACCGACGCGACGCTTCAGTGACCCGCTTTCTAAATACCAGGTCCTAAATTCAATTAATGTCGTAATAAAACATAAATTAAAAATCTTTCTATGTGAACAGAGCTTTTGTTTCGTCAATACAGTGAAATCGAAATTTAACATGACATACTTACATTAAATTGTAGAAGAAACAAAAACTTTCGGCTTTGATTTATTTTACATTCGATCATATATAGGTACATTTGATATATATTTAAAAGGTCCCTAGTGTAAGGAAGAAAAACTTTCGACGCAGATGACCAAAAAATATCTTCATTTGGTATTCCGAAGTGAAACAGCTTACGTTGTAGGCTTTTGTGGGACTAATATAAATCAAATCTGTCGTCAGTCGTCCAGTTACGGTAATGGAGGGGAATGTGTGAAGAAAATTGTGATGTTATGGTTTAAAATTTTCTGTTAAACCAACAACGATTAGAATTCAAGACAATTTACAGGCAAACGCGATGTTTTTTTCTTCTTGAAACATTATCCTTACTGTAAGATGACATTGCTCTGTGTTTGCGTGGACATATACCCTAATCCCTTAAAATAATATTTGGGTCATACAAATAGTTGCTCCGTGTATCGGACCCACGACCACCGGTGCCGAAGCCAACACCTTGCCAACTGCGCCACGGATTCATCATTGTATGACACCATTAGACGCAGTGATGACCTTCCTAAGTCTGCAGGAGATGAATCGGTGCAGAAGCTTAGATCTTGATTGAATCTGAAATTCTAAATTCAAAAGATGATAGTTTTTTGATATGTAGCGAAAACAGAAAGTTACGGAACGCACGTTTTCCCGTGATCTTGAATACTTCTAAGTGTTCGAAATCTAGGGAGACAAAAATAGAAGTAAATTAAAAATCAAAATTCATCAAAGCAACACAAAGTACAAAGTATAAGGCAATCAAATAAGAAATTATATTACAATTCGTGATAATCTTTGAGGAGAAGGTCCATGCGTAGCAGAGGGATTGTTAGAAATGATGTGTGGAGGTAATACTAGGTCCTCACATAAGACAGGTGTGATGTGGAAGTGTTATACCTCTGCGTTTGATCTGGAGTGGAGGTAACTGGGAGTGAGAGTAGCCCCATGGTGTTGCAGATGTTGATAGGTGGCGGCTATCATTTAACACCAGGTGAAACACCAGCTCTCTTGCCACATTCGGACATAAAAAACGTAAGCCGTTACCCACAAATTTGATATAGAAAAATGTAGTTTTATTTAATAATCTATTTAAAATTAAGAGTACTTAGGTTTCTGTAAACATAGTACAGATTGTAAAGCCAAGCATTCGTAAAAATGTTATACAAACAAGTAGATAATGTCGAGATTTGTACGGGAACAGTAAAAGATGAAAACACTAATTTAATGGACCTTCAAACCTCCAAAACAGATAGGTGTCTTTACCGGGTCCTTAAATATAGTACCATGAAATATAAGCAATATTAAATGTTGCTATACACACATAATTTAAATTCGTCAGTCTTATTTTCCGCTTGTCTAACTCCCCCCTTCAGCGTGCAAATTCTTCCACAAAATACACATTTACGCAACCGACGCACACTTTTAGACAACGCGTTGAAAGTTGCAACCAGCCCACGGGATAAACGAAAAGGGGTACCGGGTTCTCGCCCTTCGTTATTAATGTAATAACTGACACTTTGTTTTATGAGAGTTCCCACTTTGCTAGTTTGTTCGCGTCTAAGGCATCACGCCTGCGGAGCGATGAAAGACGTTTCCCGCTTTATGAATTTTGAAATGCGGACATCAAGGTGGGCTGATGCTCAATTAGAACCTTGCCGTTGCGGTAAATGCGGGGCTTAAGTGGCTGATCAAAATTTTGATTGAAACAATGTATCTTTATATTATTTAAGAACTTTATAACGTTCTATGGTTAACCTTTCTCACAAAACAATAACGTTCATCATCATTTATACATAGATTGACGAAAGTAATTTATACCTAATTAATTGAAATGACATACTTTTAGATGACTAACCTATTGGAAATCAAAAGTTTTGATCGTTAGTCAACAAATAATAACATTTGTTTCCTTAACAGCGAAAATCTTTGATTTATTTGGACAGACGTCGATATTTAAATTTCAAAGAACTCTGTGTTAACCTTAGCGAAATTGCCAAGTACGTCGACTCGAGCGAGCACGTATTTTAAAAACAAAAGC